AGTGGTGAAATGGTGAGAAACAGAAAACTCTATGGAGGAGATGCAAAAACTACAGGTAAAACTACGGCTTCTCAGAGCCAGGGGTGAAATTCCCATAGGCTACAGAAGGCCAGTCTTTCCTTAAGCTTTAGAAAAATCTCTTTGTTAGAAATACCAAGCTACATATGGAAAAAGGGCAACTGTGGAAGGTAACAGTCCTAAAGACCTAAAAGATTGTGTCAAGTATGTGTGTAATGGAGGAGGAGCTTAAGTCACAAGTTTTCAAATAGTTTTCAATTTTCTTTTCAGTGTGCAGAGCCCTGCCCAGTGAATTCAAGCCTGTTGATAAACAGTTTGTTTTCCTTGTTTATTTTCTCAGGCTGATGAGAAGCTGTCCTTCCACACCCAAGGGCCGCGGACTGAGAACCAGCGCTCTGGAGCTTATAAAGAGCGACTCCTTTAGAAAGCGATCTAAACCAGGAGCTTTACTCATTAACTTTTGCTAGACTGATGCCACTCAGAGCTCTCCCATACTCTCTTGTCCAGGGTATGTTTTAATGAAGGAAAAAAAACCCCCAAAATATCTCCACCGGTGTCTTTTATTAAGTAATGCAAAATACAGTATTAATTATGACACTGCATGCATTTTAGACAATATAAATGCAAACCTACAGAAAATGTGACAAAGAAACCCTCAATTACTTTTGAGGTAGTATACAAGGAAAAATAGGAAAGCAGAAACACAGTGGATTAAAAGAACAAAATATTAGTATCACTTTGTGCATACATTAGTCACTCATAAATACATTTGTATGAAATAACATAAGATACAATTCCATTCTTGTTAAAAAATATACTTCTTCAAATTCACCATTCTTGTTTGTGTTGTTTTCACATGACATTTTATGGTATTTTATCAGGTGGATTTATTTTTTATCACCGCCGTCATGATTTTACCCTTTTCCTCCAAGAGTTTAGGCACAGATGGCCTCATGCACAAAAATAAATAAGAAACCTGCTTGAAGGGAAAAGAATTCTGCTCAAATAGCTTAGGATAGTCTAATAAATACCATTTTGTTTATAAAAATATTTCAGGTTTATAAAAGAGGGGAGGGGACGGTCTCCCACGTGGAAAGTATGTTAAGTGAAAAGTGCTGTATAACATTTTTGAAGAGATTTTGTTTTAAACATATAGTACCATTATGAATATATATTTCATAATAATCCTGTTTCTTAGAACCTTATTGTTCACTAGAAGTATCAAATGCTGTTTGCTTCCTTTTGAAACTTGTCTTATTGCCGTTTTGGAAGATTCTGAACCCTAGTTCAGAAGGGTTCCGTATAATTGTGCTTTTGTAAGGCTGTCCTTCCGACTCAAACCAGTACTCCCAGTCCGTTGAAACTGCTGCTGTTTGCTGTGAATACCCGAATGGCTTCCTTGCTCCATGGAAGACTGGTGGATTTCTGAAGCCTCCATTGAACTCTGATTGAGGGACTCTGCAGAGCTGTTGGGGCTGACGTCCACGTATTCTCTTTTCAATACCGGGCTATTTTCGATGTTTTTGCTACTGCATAACTGGACGGTGATCCTTTCATTTTTTTGGTCTCTTGATTCTTTTGTTTTGTAAGTGGGCAATTTGTCCTGTTTACAGCTAGTGCTAATGTCAATATTCAGGCCACTGTCTGTTCTCAGGAAGCAAGAATCCACAAGTCTGCTTTGGCAGATATCGTCTCCCTCTGAGCAGCTGTCTGCTTTGTAACTAGCATAGATGGGGCTTGTTCGACTGTCTCCCTTCTTAATAGGGCTGCTGTAGTACTGCTCTGAAAAACTACAGGGCGACAGCCTGCCAGTGTTCCTGTAAGGGTACGCACCAATGTCCTCCACGCTCAACTGCCTCCATCGCCCAGGCAAGTCTTCTTCTGAAAGGTGGGTGCTTCTGCACTCGTTCCTCATTTTCTGATTTGCTAAAGCCTGCTGGGGTGTTATGGCTGAGAAATGAAAAGGTTCGTTTGCATAAGGAGGCAGAGTCCTAGTAAAAGTGGGTGAGTTCTCGTTGTCGTCGGCAAGCTCCATGTGCTGCGCAGGTTTGGACTTGGCAAACCTAGGACTTCCCTGGTGCTCATAACCTGCAGGTGACTTTCTTTCAAACAGTTCATCTCGGTTGCTCATGTAGATCGCTTGCTGAGAGGCTGTCAGAGTGTTGGCTTGGGCATTCTCCTTCTCCTCAGATGTGACGCTGAAGCTGGAATAGGAGCTGGAGGTCGGCAGAGAGGTAATGTACTCTGGGAAGGCTTCGTGAGAGAAGCTGGAATGGAAACCGTCTTCTTCGACGGTGCTGTCCGTGGAGTTCTGGGACCGCAGGAACCCCACGTCTTTCACTTGTGTGTCCACACTCTGCCTCCTCTCCCTCCTCCTCTCCTCGGGGCAGTAAAGGGCGGTGTCGCTGCAGTAGATGTCTGACTTGTACTGGGGCCTTTGTCCGAGTTTGCCAGCGGAGTCCTGAAAATTGAGATCCCTTGTAGATGGGCTTGACAAGTGTGAAGACAAGCTGTTTGGATCTGGTTTTTCCAGTACTTTGGCAATGACACAAGTGGGTATGGTATCAGCGTAAGATGTGTGGCACAAGGGGACAGAAAGGCTGCACCCGTGTTTTTCCAGATGGATGCTGACTCTTTCCTGAAAGTCAGATGGCAGCTGTAACATAAAAAGATGGCAAAGGGGCAGGAGAAAAGGGTGCACGTCAATACTGGTGTCTGCTTGGGCTTATACAACACTGATAGATGAGTGCTGTTTATGACACTGCATGGCTCACTGTATATGGTTCTTTGACTAATGTGATGGCCACAATCTCTGTGCATTTCTGAAAACAAACTTAATCAAATTACTTTCATTTATTAACATTCAAAAATCTTAATATGCTTCCCCTCATGGAAAACACTGTGAAACTGAAATGTTTCCTTCCAAGTTATTCAGGTTGGATAGGAATGATGTAAAGAGTGTACCAAGCAATTTGCAGGTAGGGAATTACAGCCTACAGCAACACTTTCCAGATTGCATGCATGGGTGCGATTTGCAGTTGGGGTGGGGGGTGTGTGGAGGTCTCTGCTGGGGTGAGGAAAGAGGAGGAAGGAATCAGATCTGTTCTTTTCTTCTTTTGCCTTTCTTCAAGTTTGTCTTGCCTCCAACCTGGTGCCAAATTGGCTCCTGCCCTTCAGCGTTGGATTTGATAAACAATGCCGTTTGAAGAGGCAGGAAAGTTGGTTTCGCTGACACTTAAAGCAATGGAACTGGCTGCTATGACAGGAGTGTTCCTGTGCTGGGAAGAAGCAAATCAAACCAGCTACCTTGCCCCAGCGCTCAGACACTGCTTGTCAGATCAACCGTCCATCAGTTACCTGACTGCTTTTCTAGTTTCTTACTACACTGGCTAAGGCCTGAATTTACATTATGATTCCTGTGACAGACTAGTCAGAATTAATCAATATGTCTGTTATGCATCAGAGATCATATAGTTTCTGGAGAAATCAGGATCAGTTCTGTGGATGGTGGTTCCACCTGTCGTTCTATCATGTGGACCAGAAGAGACTGAGAGCCTGCATTCCTTGGTGGAACTCAAAAGTCTGGTAGGTAATGCCTATGCAGGTATCACCAAGCATGTTTGCCAGTCAGGTTTTATCTGCATTGCTCATTTCAGATCTCTATCAATGATCAGACAGGGATATGGGAGAGTGCTGCATGATGGTTGTCTTTCAGTATTTCTAACTGGAAATCAAAAGAACTCATGTTCGGACTAAGTTTTGAGTTTGTGACTGTGATAGCTCCTTTGATATCCATGTTGATTTACACCACTTAAGACTTTAGCCCCTGAATGGTTGGCTGAACTGATTTACTCAGCACTTTCTTTTTGTAACTAGAAATCAAGTTCCTCTTTACCACATAATCAGTGGTTACTCTTATAGCCCTCCTTACACTCCCTCCTTAACTTCGTTTCTCTAAAGGAGAGAACCCTACAAATACTGAAGTGGTCGTCGTCCCCCCTGTTTTAGGCAAGAAAAATTTAAGGTGCCTGTTCCTTGTAATGATCTCACATTGTATAAGATATGGAGCTCCTATTATAGCTTCACTGGGAAGTTTTTAAACTTGGTTTAATCCCCAAAACTCAATGCATTCAAAATATGGCATGTTGTGAAATGGCATTCTTGTTAATATGGAGCAGGATGAATGTTTTTTCAACCAATAGACCTTCCAGGATATTTTGGATTAATCATTATGTTGTTAATTAGCTCATATGTCTTCCATTGGAAATAAAGAGTATGATATTGCCAATCTGCTGGCAGACAGCAATATTAGTCATAGTAAGTACAGATGCAACAAAGATTGAATAAACAGGTTGTAAAATAGGGCTGCTGTAAATTGCCACAGAAATGAGGAAAAGAAATTTAACGTGAAACTGCTGTATGGGGCACCTATTATTTTAGTATCCTGTAACACCACTGTTTGATCTATTTTATATACATCATTTAGATTATGAAATGCATTAAGAAAAAGAACATTATTTTCTGGGCGTTGCACTGGAAACTGGAATTACTAAAATGATCTTGCTGTCACATTACTATATTGTACTATAGTTTAGGCTTCTGGATAATATACAATACTTTGTCAGGCAATATTTGCATTTGTAAGGAATTTATTGGCTGTGACAGCACAGTCACATTTGCTAAATTAATAAATACTTGGACTTACGAGTGGAGACTTTGCCTATTTAATTGAGTGTATGACAGCCTGGGAAATTGTGGGGAGATCCCACATTTGTGATAGTTTTCTGCAACTGAACCACTAAGTATGTTTAAGGTCCTAATTCTTGCTAACAGGTAGGGTGCTTCCAAGTGTGAGTAATGTCATGATAACTCCTGGATATGAATTGCTAAGGGAAGCCAGTTACTAGGAAAAAGTAACAAGACCAGGATAATGGTTAATTCGGAAGTTCTGTCTCGGTTCCAGAAAATCATTTCCCATTTGACAAGAGTCTTGCTCCATCCTTATTTACCAGGGTTGTTGAGTGCTCTGAGGCAGTCTACTGGCTTAGAAATGGTTTATACATTCCACATTCAATTTTGCGTTTTTCCGTCACAGAATGGCATGAGAGAGACCATTTGGGGGGTCATTAACCTGATGGGACTGATGAAGGGAAGGCTTTTCTCCGTGACCTTCATCAAAGCAATACACATGAGGAAGGTGCTATTGCTTTGTGTAGGGTCTGCATCCCTGAAGACAGTCTTGTTCACTAAGATAATATTTGCCTCTCCTTTAAGGAGTCTGTTTCTCAAGCCTAGTTTCCTTGGAAGCAAGGATTATTAATTAAAGTTTACACCTTGGAAATCAATCATTCAGTGCTCCGGTTGCTTTAGAAAAAGATATTTGTTCTGTCAGTCCATTTTAAAATTCAGGTTTAGAAATTAGCTGGGCTGGAAAATAGCTTCAGGAGGAAAAATTGATTAACTCTATCCCAGCTGAAACCAGGACAATCAGAATCTCTGACGCCTGCAGCTTGTCATTTCCCTGCTCTCACCCCCCCCCATTTCCCCCCAGCATTTTGCAGTCTAGAATTCTCAGCACTTTGATTTTGCTAAAACCTCTATTTTTCATGTGATCAGTGCAGGCCCATTCTACCGGGTAGCAGAGGTTGTGGGGAAGAGAGTACCTCCAAGTTCTATCACTGGCTGTGATTTTGTCGGCACCTCCCTCAGCTGCACAGAACACCAGCATGTGCCCAAGCCCTCCTGTTGCTTAAAGGTGTGTGTGTGTGTGGGGGGAAATCAAAGCCTTAAGGGCAAACAAGTTCTGGAATTGATACATGTAGCATAACCTGTTTTCCATAAAATATTTATTTCTTTGAATATTCA